AGCCCTCTACAGGCTTCTTGATGACTAGACTCAGAGGAATTTAGATGAGGAAAGAGATTAAAAAAATATATATACAAAAAAAAAGGAGCATGTTTGTAGACAGGTGCCCATAGAAACTCTGAGCCAGTAGCCTAAGTGACCAAAGCAGGTTGTGTTTTGATTTTTTAAATGTGGGTTTGACTGAAAACAAACGTCATGAAAGCCAAAGGAATTATGCCTGTGGGCTGGATCTGCCTCACAAGTGATACGTTTTCAACACACGGCTTCTGACCAGGAAGGGAATACGGAGGTCATCTTTAGAGTCTTAACTTCTGCACTTAGTAGACAAGAACATCATATCCAAAGGGCTTCGGTAAAGTAAAATAGCTGGGCTCCTACCTAGACCATGTGACTGTCATTTATTGCACAGGTGGTTTTAATGTTGCTTCCACTTTTGCCTTAAGTCAAATTGACACCACTTACAGCTTTTCTCCAAGGTGCATGTGGGACTTGGGGTAGGATTGAAGGTGATGTGATGGGAAGGGGGATATGAGATTTTACTGTAAATGTGAAAAGAACACTTGGCTGTCTCACTCCTCCTGCCATCACCAAACCTGAGTCAGGTGTGTCCCAGTTAAGGGACCATCAGTGCCGGACAACCCTCATTCACAGACCAAGGGAGGAGTGTCCCAAGTCACCTCCCTGTCCTGAGGCCTGACGATAGGCCAGAGTTCATTGACAGTCTATAATCCCTCCCCAGACTGCTCTCAACTTTCAGCAGGCACCTGAAGCTGTTTTGGCCTCACCCTAGGATGGTATGCATATCTTATTCATCTCCAGATGAATTTTTGTGGTTGGTCCATGACAACAATTATTATTTTATATATTTTAAAGAAAAAAAGAAATGCTTTTTTTTTTCAATTGCATACAAATCCCTCAGATGTATCTCTAAGTTTATAAGAAATTAACTCCAGACATTAATACTGCCCATAAAATATTGGGAAATCTTAGTTCATAGAGTTTGGATGAGCAACTTCGGCATCGTAGCCACCTGATTCAGGTTCAGGCTCTGCCACTTATAGGCTGTGTGACCTTGAAAAATGAATTGCCTTCTCTAAGCCTCAATTACACACAGGTGTGGATTAATTAAAATAATGCAAATAATGCTTCCAAACACTTTAAGTACTTATAAATGGTAGCCCTGTTACACTGTTGTTTTAACTTAATATTGGATCAATATTTTTGTACAGTTTTAAAGATCTAGGGATGCCATTTTTTCCCAGAAAAATATGAAACTAATAAAAATCCTCTTAAAATCAAAAGCAATTCTAGTTTGATAGCTGCTTGACTATAGTCTTAACTGAATTACAATCCAGACGACTGCTGCTCCAATCTCTAACATAAAAATGACAAATAAAAGGGACCAGCCAGTGGCATGGTAGTTAAGGCAGCTGGATCCCACATGGTTGACTGTACAGTTCAAGTCCTGTACAGTTCAAGACTTGAAAAACATACTGGGAGCATGTATGTGTGTGTATGCCTAAAATCTTGAGAGGAGAATGAAGGAAATGGTATTGCAGTGTGGTCACCCCCCATGAAAGGTGCTTTCTCACTTTCTTCTTCTCTGTCTCACTCTGGGAAGTGCAAGTGCCCTATAACAACAACAACAACAACAGAAGTTGTAAATGAAAAATGGCAAAGAAGGGACCAGCAGTTAGCATAATGGCTATGTCGTTGGACTCCCACGTAGTGGACCACGGTTCGAATCTCAGACCTGGTGGCTTAAACTCACACCGGGCACATGTGCATGCCTGCCCAAGATTCTGCGAAGAGAATGGAAGAGAAGGGATTGCGACGTGGCCATCCCCCCTGGGGGGTGATTTCTCGCTTTCTGTCTCTATATCTCTCTCTGTCTTTCTGGCGAGTGCATGCACACTATAGCAAAAAAAAACCTCTCCAAAAAAAGAAAAAAATTGGCAAAGAAAGGCCATGAGGTGTTTAGCTGAGACTTGAGTAAATAATTTAGTTCTCCTCATTCCTATGTATAGCTGACTCTAGAAGAACACAGGAGTTAAGGGTATCAACTCCATGCAGTCAAAAATCTATGTGTAATTTTCAATTTCCCCAAAACTTAACTACTAAATAGATACTGTGGGCAGGAAGTCTTATTGATAACATAAGCAATCCATCAACACATTTGTTTTATGTAATGTGCATTATATACTGTATTGTTGCAATAAAGTAAGATTTTTTTAATCATAAAGAAAATACATATATAGTATTTATTGAAAAGAAAAAACAAAACAGAGAAGTAGACCTGCATAGATCCTGCATAGGGTCAACTGTAATCATGCTTTTTGTCTTCATGAGATGTTTCTTTTTATTTATTTTGCTACAGGGCATGTGTGCTCACCAGAGAGACAGAAAAAGACAGAAAGCAAGAAATCACATCCCAGGGGGATGGTCATGCCACAATCCCTTCCCCTCCATTCTCTCAGGATTTGGGGTACACACGCACATGTGCCTGGCCTAAATTTCATGCCACCAGGTCTGGGACTTGAACTGCGGTTGACCATGGGACAGTCCAGCACCTTAACCACTATACCACCTTCTGGCCCCAAGATGTTTCTTTCGAAGCTGTGAGTGTGGTCCATAATCTGAAACATCCATCATGCCTAGTTTTAGAAGAGGAGTGAAGTATAATGATGGGATTCATTTATTCATGTGCATATTGTCAACAGGACCGGCTTTGGGATTCATAGACTTTTGTACTCTGAGCTAAAAGTTGATTAATTGGGTAACTAGCAGAAATTTTGTGCAGAATGTGGAAGATACATTTCGGAATGTACTACCAAATAAGACAGCTCTGTAAATTGGACAGAAAATGTGAACTCACCCAGATTAGCAGTGCCACCCTGTGACAAACGAAATTTTGGCACTTCTAGTTCACCTTGGCAAATACTCACGTCCTGATGTCATGCAGCCATGATGTAAGCCAGAAAGAGTGCTATTTTGCAATAGGGAGCGATCCTGGTAACCTCTCCCATCAGTGTGGGTTGCAGGATATCAATATTTACATCGCCCCGCAGAAAGCATGTTTCGTTCTGTAATGTGAAGTTAGATGGTTTATTCAGTCTTCTGCATAGCTTAATTAGCCTATGTCCAACATCAAAAGCTTACATTGCTGATGTTTGTCTTGTTATTTGCTTAAGACATTTTTTTTCAATTAAATATAATGAATGGAAATCTTCTTGGCGTCACCAAAATGGACATGTCAAAATTAAAGGATTAGATCTGGATTGTGCCAGGAAACACTAAAAGATGAACTGTGCTATGATTTTATCCTCTTCAAACTTGATGAAAACACAATTATATGAAAAGCTAATTTGAGAGAAACAGATAGGGTGACAAGCAATTGTCATTTTATTTTTGTAAATTCGTTGGCCTAGGGATGGTTTTTGTGGTGTTTATCCCACTCCCCATTATATTCTAAAGTGCAAAATAATGAAGCCACTCACATGTATAGTATCCTCAGTTGGACTGGTGTGAAGTGTATTCTTCTTGGGTAAATTCCCTTTACAAGTTGTAATGATGCATAGTGAGTGAATGTATAAAATAAATTTAAAAACATTAAAAAAAATTAAAACCTTTTAAACAAATGTTGCTAGTTTGCTCTTCAAAATAATAATAATAATAATAATGAAACACTCATGAACATTGGTGACCTAAGAATGTGTTCTCCAGGAGTTGAAGAAAAGACACAATGAGACAGAAAGGAGGGATGAAAGATGTTGATGAACCCCTTGACCAGTTTAATTGAGTCAAAGATGCCAGAAACATGACGTCATTCTTTCCTAGAGAATCCACCCCACTTAGTGATCCGTTGATTGATAGCTGAAAGTGCAGTTCCAAGGCAAGGACTTCACTACTAGGCTCTTTTCAGAGTCCTATTGCATATAGGAAAAAAAAAAAGAAGATGAAATGATTTGCAGATCATCTTGTATTTGCGCGTTTTCCCACTTAAGTCCTGCTGATGTACGTATGTAAATATCGCCAGATGTGGCTCTTGCTCCATAGGAATGCCAGATTCCTTCCTGCAAAATTACCATGAGGAGTTATGAGATCACAAGATTCTTTTGTATGGCAGGCTATAAACAGATGGCTATAAACCACAGTCTAAGTTTCTGTACAGTCTCACAGGGTGAATTTTATATGGTGAATGAACACTATTCTACAGGTAAGAAATGGGAACCTCTTTTGGTATTTGTTTTGGTTAACATTTTGGTTTAGCAACCTGGGAATTTCAATTCGCTGATGTTCTCATTTCAATTATATTATGTTTGTAACTGACAAGTATTTATAGACAGCAAATATTTACAACCTTTTAAATGATCATTTCTCCCAACTCTAATATTAATCCCTCTTTCCTTTCATCAAGAGGCAGCCCTTAATTAATAAAAGGCGGTCTTTTATTCTTCCTGGAATCTCCCCAACTTTTTCACATCTTTTTGAAATGCTCAGGAAGAGCATAACTTTCTAGGTGCGGTCGTTGGAGTCACTGGGAGGAACCCTCACCTCCCCACTCCTCCACATGATGTAACCTTTGCATGCTGGATGAGGAAATGCAGAAAGTGCTGACACGCAACTCATCTGCATTAAATTCCTTCTGAGGCAGAAATGAAGCAAGTGAAATATCTTCTACCTAAAGGTAATTAGCACCTAAAGTTTTCTTTAGGAGTGAATGAAAAATTAAAACAATGTACATGGCAGGCCAGTGATTAGACTACCATAGTAAAAAAATATTCAAGTTTGATATTGTTTTAACCTATCTCAAGACCAAAATTGTTTTGCTTATTTACATTACAATGAGAAAAAGTCCATAGTTATAAATGGAATCTAAAAATAAATCTAAAAATGGCAATAATTATTATTCTTTAATTTCTTTTTACTTTCTTTCAAAATAAATTATTATGTTACAAATTAAACACTAGAATATACACACAAGATAATACCCAGTGGTGTGTTTTGGGATTAGAGGTGGCTTTGAAGGTGGAGGTGTTGAGAATAATCTTACCTACAGTGCAGATATGGGGGGGAAAAGTTTCCCACTGTCAAATTTTAAAGCTACAAGGGCCTTGTAGAAAATGAAACCAAAGCCCAAATAAACTAAATTTCCTGCAGACTATTAAAATTATATGGCGGAAACATAATTAAAGAAAAGTACTCTGATTTCCAGTTATTTCTACCAGTGCTCCATTTTTTTTCTCTCTGGTGCAGATCAGTTATCAAGTGTTCAGAAATGATAAAGTTTTCATATGCTGTTGGCTGATAAAAAGTTTCTACATCCAGTTCTTCAGTTTCTATATCACAACCAGTTATAAGCTTGTAATCATTAGAAGAATTCTAGGATTTTTTGAATGAATGGTCACCAGATAATTCCACCCGTAGTAGAAGGGAGTGTCATTAGGGAAACAGTAAGTCCAACACAAAGTCGTATAATCCATGTGGAAAAGAAATGCTTTGCTTACTCCAGACTCGATATCCAGATAGCTGTCAGTCTGCAGAAATCTTTAGCTTATTTCTTATTTCACAGATAAAGGCTGCACAGTATTGTCACAAGTTAGGTATGATTTGTGTTTGCCTTGAATATTCCATTTTCTTTTAAATGGCTTCCGTTTAAGACACAAGTCTGTTTCACTGGAGATGCCATAATACTGATCTCATTCTAAAAGTTGACGCTACATTCTTTTGGGCACCATGAAAGCAGCACATTTGGGCAAATAGACTTAGAGAGGCCCCATCTAGGTGGTCTAGGATACAGGGTAGCAAGTGCATGAAGAGCCCACGTTTGGCATTGCTTCAGCTTGCTTCAAGGTTGATCATTATTCCCATGGAAACTCTCCCAACTGATATGGTCAGAAGCGTGACACTGTCTTTCCGTGGTGAGAACAGTAACCACACCACCACGGCAAACCCAGAGTAGACCTCCGAATTTGACTTCTACCATTCTATCTTGATCACGTGGCTTCCATGTCATCCCAATGACGGTAAAGTCTAAAGACCAAGGTTGAGTTTTATCCCCTTATTTCGTGGTGGTCCCAACTTCCATTATTTTGAGACAAGTCATCTTGGAAGTGTTGCCATTTCATTTGAAGATTTCAATTTTGGGCTCACCGAGGTTTATAAATTCCTTGATGAAACATTCTTACAAAGGCCTCACAGTGGTCTCCCTCCAGAACAGATGTTGTAAGGTGATTTCAGTTTTAGACACCTAAAACAGAGCATTGGTTTTCGTATGAATTTGACCGTGGTTTATGTAGACCATAGTGGATTACGTGGATTACATGAACGCACCGAAGTAGTAGTTGCTCTTGGTGCCCCACCAATCCCCTTTACCCACCGTGGGCCCATCCCCTAGTGGCTGTGGGTGTTTACATGCTCCCAGCAGCTTCTTTATCCAGGGGACTGCCCATGGCCAACGAAGCATGTTGCCAGGAACTTCCTGGGAGATTATAAGCCCCTGTGCCCTCCGCACCATGAGATCCTCTAGCCTATGATTAACTGATACGTGGTACTGAAACCAAGACTCCTTACCTCCTTGGAGCAGGTCTACAATGCCACTCACATTCTAGCTCTCTCACTGAATCTCCCTGAAGCTACACTTCAGCTAAAGCTACATCTTTGTTTAGCATCTTCCTCCACATAACCTGCTTTTCTTTCTTTTTATCTGTTTTGTTTTTAGTTTGCTACAGTGTGTGTATGCTTGCTAGAGAGAGAGAAAAAAGTGAGAAAGCACCCCTACAGGGATAACCACCCTGCAATCCCTTCTCCATTCTTCTCTCAGGAATTTCAGTACACACACGGGAATTTTAGAAATCACATGTGTCCAGTGTGATTTCTAAGCCACCAGGTCCAAGACTGGAACAGTGCAGTTGGCCATGTGTGACCCAGTCACCTTAATCACTATGGCACTGGCTGGCCCTCAATCTGCTTTTCTTTCTTCTTTATAGATTTCACTTTAGAGCACTCCCTCCATCAACCACATACACAATGATCCCCATCTCAGGCTCTGTTTTTAGGGAGCCTGACCTAAGACTGTTGGCTTTTTAATATCGAAAAATCTTATCTCCTTATTATTATTTTTTGTTCTTTTACAAAAATTCTCAACTGGTAGATATAGATTTGACTCTAAGATGTTGTTAAGCAAAACAAACTTTTCTGGTTTTAGATAAGCACTTTGGTCCTTTTAAAAATAACAGCTTAGTACACTAAAGAAAATGTATCTATATTTTTTAAATTGATGCATCTCATTATTTCTTGACTTTTACCTAGTATCATGGATTTAAGGAAAAATTAGTTGTGTTGAGAAGCCTGAAATGAGAATGAACACATAAGTAGTATTCTGAATCTATCCCCAGTTATGGGGGGTAGATTGGCCCATGTTTGTCACACACTTTTATTCACTTAATATTTCTTTCTCTTTTTTTTTTAAGCTCAATAAATATTTATTCAGTGTCTGTTGGGTACTAGCCATAGAATAAGGCACTGACTATGCGCTCATGAGCAAGTCTCTTCATTAATGAGAGTGGATTTAGTCTCTACTCTCTTGGGGCTGACTATCCTCATTTATAATTTTGTTATGTGCAGAGAGAATCGGGTAAAGAGAAATGATAAATTTGAAATGCCATATTACAACTGAAGGTAGATTTTTATCACTTGTCTGAGTTTATGAGAAAGAGAATCGAAATTAATATGGAAGAACTTGCCAAATTCATAGCTCCTTTTCATTCAAGAAAACCTACACATGCCAATGCCTGGCATATTGCAGAGACTCAGTAAATAACTGCCAAATGAATGCATATCAAATCACTTCATTTTTTTATATACCTCTTTCTTAAGTAGCAGTAAAAAATGGCAAGAAAACCACTTAATAGTAATCCAACGCCAATCCCAATGGCAATGTATTTTTCATAAGAATCCACAGCATATGAAGTTAAGGTCAAGTGCTCACACCTTTCTCCAGTATAACCAGTAAAACACCTTTAAAAAAAGAGAGAGAAATCCATAATGTTAAAGCCTGCCAGGAACTTCCTGGGAGATTATAAGCCCCTGTGCCCTCCGCACCATGAGATCCTCTAGCCTATGATTAACTGATACGTGGTACTGAAACCAAGACTCCTTACCTCCTTGGAGCAGGTCTACAATGCCACTCACATTCTAGCTCTCTCACTGAATCTCCCTGAAGCTACACTTCAGCTAAAGCTACATCTTTGTTTAGCATCTTCCTCCACATAACCTGCTTTTCTTTCTTTTTATCTGTTTTGTTTTTAGTTTGCTACAGTGTGTGTATGCTTGCTAGAGAGAGAGAAAAAAGTGAGAAAGCACCCCTACAGGGATAACCACCCTGCAATCCCTTCTCCATTCTTCTCTCAGGAATTTCAGTACACACACGGGAATTTTAGAAATCACATGTGTCCAGTGTGATTTCTAAGCCACCAGGTCCAAGACTGGAACAGTGCAGTTGGCCATGTGTGACCCAGTCACCTTAATCACTATGGCACTGGCTGGCCCTCAATCTGCTTTTCTTTCTTCTTTATAGATTTCACTTTAGAGCACTCCCTCCATCAACCACATACACAATGATCCCCATCTCAGGCTCTGTTTTTAGGGAGCCTGACCTAAGACTGTTGGCTTTTTAATATCGAAAAATCTTATCTCCTTATTATTATTTTTTGTTCTTTTACAAAAATTCTCAACTGGTAGATATAGATTTGACTCTAAGATGTTGTTAAGCAAAACAAACTTTTCTGGTTTTAGATAAGCACTTTGGTCCTTTTAAAAATAACAGCTTAGTACACTAAAGAAAATGTATCTATATTTTTTAAATTGATGCATCTCATTATTTCTTGACTTTTACCTAGTATCATGGATTTAAGGAAAAATTAGTTGTGTTGAGAAGCCTGAAATGAGAATGAACACATAAGTAGTATTCTGAATCTATCCCCAGTTATGGGGGGTAGATTGGCCCATGTTTGTCACACACTTTTATTCACTTAATATTTCTTTCTCTTTTTTTTTTAAGCTCAATAAATATTTATTCAGTGTCTGTTGGGTACTAGCCATAGAATAAGGCACTGACTATGCGCTCATGAGCAAGTCTCTTCATTAATGAGAGTGGATTTAGTCTCTACTCTCTTGGGGCTGACTATCCTCATTTATAATTTTGTTATGTGCAGAGAGAATCGGGTAAAGAGAAATGATAAATTTGAAATGCCATATTACAACTGAAGGTAGATTTTTATCACTTGTCTGAGTTTATGAGAAAGAGAATCGAAATTAATATGGAAGAACTTGCCAAATTCATAGCTCCTTTTCATTCAAGAAAACCTACACATGCCAATGCCTGGCATATTGCAGAGACTCAGTAAATAACTGCCAAATGAATGCATATCAAATCACTTCATTTTTTTATATACCTCTTTCTTAAGTAGCAGTAAAAAATGGCAAGAAAACCACTTAATAGTAATCCAACGCCAATCCCAATGGCAATGTATTTTTCATAAGAATCCACAGCATATGAAGTTAAGGTCAAGTGCTCACACCTTTCTCCAGTATAACCAGTAAAACACCTTTAAAAAAAGAGAGAGAAATCCATAATGTTAAAGCCTATGATAGAAATACAAAGAAATGACCTATTTCAAAGAATGAAAAAAATTTCAGTTTAAGTAATTTCGAAGTAAGTACTTCAAAGTAACTAATTAAATGAAAAAAGCACATACCAAATGAAAGCCAATCTGTTAGAGGTAATGAACTAGCTATGAATTTTGCAATAACCATTTCATTAATGACCCCTTACTTTCTCCTCACTGGTAGAAGAGAAAGAAAGTATGCTTACATGAGTTACTATAAAAGATCTTTAGCCTTGGGACCAACAGTTAGTGTAATGACTATGTCGCTGGACTCCCATGTAGTCGACCGCGTTTCGAGTCCCGGACCTGGTGGCTTAAACTCACGCCGGGCGCATGTGCGTGCGTGCCCAAGATCCCAAGAGGAGAATGGAGGAGAAGGGATTGCGGCATGGCCATCCCCCCTAGGGGGTGATTTCTCGCTTTCTGTCTCTCTGTCTCTCTCTGTCTTTCTGGCAAGTGCACATACCCTATAACAAAAACCTCTCTAAAAAAAAGATAAGCAAATCTTTAGCCTGCTCTTGCATAGGAGGGTGCTGCGCAAATCAATACAATAAAAGTAGTTGCTCCAGGGCTAGCAGGTGACATGGACGTTAAGGTGGCTGGACCCAACATGGCTGACTGCGTGGCTCAAGTTTGCACCAGGTGGCTTGAAAATCATACCAGGTGAGTGCATGTGTGTGCCCATAATCCCCAGGGGAGGATGGAGGAGATAAGGGACTGTGGCATGACCATATCTCTGAGGGGGAGGAAGGATGATTTTTCACTTTCTCTGTCTCCCTTTCTCTCTCTGTCTCTCTCTCTGGTGGTGCACATGCCCTATAGTAGAAACTAAATTAAAAAATAGAAAAAAAAATTAGCTGCTCTGGAACCACATATTCCTGAAGTATTGTTGTTTTAGTCTATTTTATTTAATCCTATAGACAACCCCATGAAAACTCAGAATCACCTTTGCATGCTGCTAAAGATGCAGATTTGGATTTAGTAGTTCTGGTTGTGGAGCATAAGATTTTGCATTTCTATTGGCTCCCAGGTTACACAGACAACTGCTAGCCAAGGAACCACATTTTCAAGTAATGAGGATCAAGTAGTTTAAAAAACAATAGGCCAGTCATGTCCAGATCATCCATCCTTTTTAGTAGATAAGGTAGAGGAATATGAAAATGTAGTACATAAAGCAACAGGGGCATAAATTCACCTCTCTAGGACTTGAAAAGTTCTTCTTTTTTAAGACTTACTTTATTTATTCATTTATTCATTCATATTTTATTTTATTTTTTTAAAATTTGTCCAGGGCAGGGTGTGAGAAAGCAAGCCACCATGTGGTTGGACATGTGGAAGTGTCCAACGCCTTAATCACCACATCACCTGCTGGTCCCCTTGGAAAGTTCTTTGCAATTACCTGCAGATGGCTTTCTTTAGCTCGTGGTGAAATGCACAAACACCATTGATGCAGTAGCTGTTATGGTCTTCCAAGCAAGGATGTGAGAACTTCAAGGCTACAGGTCCTTCTGTGTAGTCAGCTAGGAAAAGGAGATCCACTATTAACAGATGATGTTGGTCCTACTTTGATGGTAAATTTTCAAATCATATGTAAAGAGACCTCATGTTTCAAGTCTATTTTAGAGGCACGTTGTCCTTCAAGTTATTGATTCTTTGGCAGATCATATTCACAAGAATTGACTTCTATCATCTAGACATAGCACTAACTAATCAGGAGGTAGAGGTGAACTGATGATCATTCCATTCTTTAGAAACCACGTAATAAGATATAGAGACAAGTTTGTCAAAAGGTGGCAGCATTGTTTTTAGCTTTAGCAGGTTATTTTGAACAATTCTTCCCAAACGTGCCTGAATGCTAATAAATACAGACAATTTCACATGATCTTTTCTTTTTTCCATTTAACATGAGATGACAATTTGGACCTACACTTGTGCGTAATGAACCAAACTTTTCATCCTTCCCTACAGAAGATGGTAGAAACTCATCCTCACTTTTATATAAACTGCCAGGGGGAGCTAATCAAAAAAATGAACATTTTGCCTAACTGACTTTGGAGAGATATAGCAATGACATCTACAGAAAGAAAGATGGCTCAGGCTTTACATAGTTCGTGGCAATACTTTTGAATGTTAATTAAACATTTTACTCAGAGACAATGTAGGGGCAGCAAGTGGCTGGATTCCCACATCTGGTAGCAGTTTGAATTACAGACCCCAGCAACTGGAAAATCATACCAGGTGCATGTGTGTGCATGCCCAAAATTCTGGGAGGAGAATAGAGGGAAAGGTATTGCAGCATGGCCATCTTCCATGGGGGGTGATTTGTCACTTCTCTCTCTCTCTCTCTCTCTCTGTGTGTCTCTCTGTCTCTCTCTGCCAAAGACACATGCTCTATAGCAAAAATATGAAAAAAAAAAAAAAGAACACTGTGAAGTAGTAAAAAGCCATGAACTTGGAATTAGAAAACTTGAGTTCTTATTTCTAGCTCTAACCCTGTGCAAATGACCACAACTGGGCAAAATTATTGTAGTCAAGTATGCAGAAGCTTCCTTGTAAGAAACCTACCTTTGGAAGGTTGCGTTCTGACAAAATGTCATGTGTTCAGGACACTTACTTTGGCACTCTGAAGTATTAAAGACATTCCTATATTTCCTTTAGTATTCAAGTAGTAGAAATGACCCTTGGGTAAGACTGAATAATTGAGTCTTTTTTTGGTATCCATTAATTACCAATTTTTGAATGTCTCTCAAGCAATATCAGTGGCATCTCATTTTGTCATTGCTATGAATAAGCACATCGCCTCACCATTCCTTATCATTCTACGCCATATTGCCTTGCTAAGGAGACTGAGCGAATCCTTATTTGTTTTTAGGGAGAAAAATGTAAAAGGCATTCTTTTATTGTATTGAAAGTACTAAATCTTAAACTATACTAAGGTGTTAACAAAATACTATGTTGTATAACTTTATTGTGCTTGAGAACACAGTATTACCTTAAAAATACACATTCATTTTGTTGCATGTGGTAAAGTTATCCTTTTAGTAATTAACTCTCGGGAGGTAAGAATTTCCCATTAAAAAGACTCTAGGTCCTGGGCCAGCCAGTGGTATGGTGATTAAGGTGGATAGATTCTACTGAGGTTCTAGTCCTGGACCCAGCAGCTTGAAAACATGCCTGGCATATGTATGCATGCCCCAAATTCCCAACACAGAATGAAAGATTAGGGACTGCAGCATGGCCATCCCCATTGGAGAATGATTTCTCACTATTCCTCTCTGTCTCTCACCACCAGCCCACACTTCCAATAGCAAAAAACAAAAACAAAAACTTCATAGGTTCTTCCTACTTCAAGGTTAACCAAGTTCAGTGAACCAAGCCTAAACTGGGATTTGCTAGAAAATGTTAGAATTGAAAAAAAATATTTCCTAAGAAAGGGTATGCCAGACTCATCTATCCCCTAAGGAGAGGAATAGTAGTTATAACTTCATGAAAAATTTTCTAAGATAGTGGATTCAGATTTTTAAGTTAAATACAAAACAAAATGAAACCCAAAAAACTAAAGTAATCCATCAAGAAAGCAGAAGAATATGGATATGACATATATTCAACCCCTTTTTTTTCTATTTCTAGTACCTACAACTTAGAAAATTTTATTTGCAGTTCACTATTAAAGAGAAAAAAAGATGGTGTTTCCTATGTTATGAAGTCAATCCCAAAGAGAAAAATATAGTTCTCTAACTTTCCACAGTATTATCATATCTTATGAAGATATTTTCTCTTTGCTTAAAGACTCAGAAGACATGAGGAAGTTGGCCAAAAGTTATTCTCAAACCCACAATGATTTTGTTTTATAAATTGATGGGCACTTGAAAATTCAAATGGGTAGAATACTTCAAGTTAATCTTTTAAAATTTAAAAATTTTGGTGGAATGAAGAACAAGTAAATATGTATATTCAGAAATGAAATATTTGATTTGATATTCTGTTTTTTTTTTTTTTTCTTTTTGAGAAAGACATTTTTGTTATAGGGCATGTGCATGCACCAGAGAGATAGAGAGACAAAAAGCAAGAAATCACCCCCTCTTGGAGGGATGGCCATGCTGCAATCTCTTCTCCTCCATTCTCCTTGCAGGATTTTGGGCAAGCATGCACAAGCACCTGGTGTGAGTTTCAAGTCACCGGATCTGGGACTCAGACCATAGTCAGCTGTGTGGGAATCGAGCACCTTAGTCACTATACCACCTACTGGCCCCTGCTTTGATACTCTTTTATTTGCCTGGCTGTGAGAGCAAGATAAGGCATAGCCTGTGTCCTCCATCACATCAGTCTTTACTTCAGGGGGTAGTTCATGACCTGCATGAGAATCAGACCACTCTGTCACAGGTCCTGGCAGGTAACAAGCTTTCCAAGTTCAACTCTAAGAGTTTGAGCAGGTTTGGAAAAACAAAACCGAAACAAGCAAACAAAAAAACCCCACTGAACAGCTGCCAGAACCATTTTAATAATCATAATAAAATCTAAATGAAAACATATCACCACATCAACAACAAAACTTGGAGGCGTGGGTGGGAAATTAAACATGTGCTAAAACAACAACTAAAGCTTCCCAACAAAGTGAGGAAAAAAAGAGATTTCAAAAAGTAAGAGAAAATATTTCATCTTGAAGCCTATTTCTTTGACTATAAAACATAGTCACGGATCAAAATATGATGTCACTCATCAAGAATGCCCAAAAGAAGACAAACTGCTCCCGGACAGGCAGGGGTTATTGGGAACCAAGCAGAACTCAGTCAGAAAATGTGGCACGTTTCACACTCGAGACTCACTGAAGAGAACTTTGATGTCTATCATTTGCTCCACTCTTCCTTTTAAAAAGGCTGTTCTTTGCTGTCACTTGAATTTAACAGCTTGCCACTAAAAGAGCTGATTAATAATAAACTATGTAAATATTTCAGCCTTTGTAATGTTGCTTTGATCATAACCCAAATTTCTCAGAAGTTTAAAAAATGAAATAGGATATACAAAAAGAAGAAAAAAATACCTTCTGTTTTGTTAACTGTCCAGTTACTTTGCTGGGCTGTGCTGGCAGGTGTTACAGTCACGGCCACCTCTTCAGTCCACGCTGTTATTGCTGTATTTAGGGGGGAAAAGCATCTTTAACGGCGAGACTCCTTCTATGCACAAGCAACAAAACGGAAGTTATTCTATTGACTCCCATTCCTGTCGTGTTTTTATTACACTTGAAATCCCTAACTCAACTCAAGCCATTTCCTGACTGTTTCTCATTCAGTCCCTAGACTACATTATAAGAAACAGAAGTTCATTATTTTTAAAGAGAAAGATTGATATATTTACATACTAATTCCATCTCAAGGACACGATAGTATACTAGGTAAATATTTCAACTCCTCTCCAATGATATAAAGCAAGCATTTCAAAGGTCTCCAAAAAATAAAAATTTCTCAGAACATACGATACACAAAACTGTTTAATCCACCGATTCTTTGTCTTGATCTCTGGCAGGATGAAGGACTGTTTGAAGCCAACTTCTCTCCAGTTCAGAGAAAACAAATCTTCCTGACAATTTACGCTGATACAAAGGTAACAAAACAAAAAGGAAATTACCTACCATTGAATAAAAGATAGACTGATATTGGAACTCCCAAAGCCATTTCCTGTAGTTGCTAAACTTTCTTTCTCTTATTCTCCTAGACTGATGGGTGGAAGGTTTTTATTGAGCTCTCTGCGTCTTTCTTGCCTTTATATTTCATGAAGCGTCATCTGGCAGTTCTTACCAATCAAAAAAATATGTACTGCTGGCAAGAGCTTCCAGCCTCCAGGCACTCACACACTTGTCTTCGGATACCTGTGTTATCTAAGGTGATCAAGCTTTCTTTGGAAATACTGGTTTCCTGTTACCTGTAGGCATAATCGTGCATGTAAAAATAGTTAAAACAACAAAAAAATATGTGAATTCAGAAAAGGTGCCATTGGTATAAACAGAACTATACCACTGCTAGCAACCTATAACAGATTCTAACAGAAATACTTGCAAATTCGGAAACAGCAAAACCTGTTGATAAAAGAAACATCCTTGAAATTACAGTCAGTTGTGCTGCCTTTCATTACAGATTATGGATTTTATTGCAAATCAAGATATTTTGTTAACTTAGTTGCCAGGGAAAATAGTCTAAATTTGTGCAAATATAGGAGGTTTAATACTCCACTTTAGTTTTTACTCACTCGTACTTATTAATATAACAAGTTCTGTAAATATAATTACTTTTGAATAGTATAGCATTCACCTTTATATCATTCTACCATTTAATGCTTTTCTGAGTAAATGGAATGAACTATCATGTTCTAGGAACAGCAGTACTTAAATCTGTGCCCTCATAATTGGGCTAAAAAGAACCAAAATAAAAGTAATAATAAAATTCTCCATTTAGATAAAGTTAAGGTAACATTTTGTTTTGGAACTTGTAGTGAATAGAAAGTTTTACATTTAGTATCACATTCAGATTTTTTTTTCAATGTTAATCTAGTTATGATTCTTAAAGTACAATTTAAAAGCTAAAACATTATATTTCTGGCTATACATTCCCATATATTTTCACTTGCCACATTTTACTATAAATGATTTATAAATAAGTTTTGGGAGATGTTGTATCTTTCAACTTGGAATGTCAATTGCTCATATATTCTGTACCTTAAAAGCCTGTCCAAGTCAAGATAGGTTATCATTTGCATCATGTCTATTCAGCAAGTTAGATTTACCAGAAAGGATCCCTTTTGCTATTCAAATGTGCGTTTGCCTTTAGAAATCACACAAGAATGAGCTTGTTCAACTCATTATGACTTGGGCAATCGCTTGCCACAGGAGTCATCGTTTTAAACTTAAAAGAATATGTCGTACTTGGCTCATTTTAAATATGCCTACATTTTGTGTTTCTACTGTTCTCGTTTTCTTACACTGTTGATTGTTAAGTCAATGTCTGGGCAATACTTTTCCCAAGCAAAGAATATTTGAGTTACAGATCGGATAATCCTTTGTGCCATCGGTTGAGAATTTTAAAAGTTACCATTTACAAAGAATGAGATAAACCATCACAATTCCTTTTGCAGTTTCTGGAAGAAGATGTTAGGATTCACATTAAATAGCTTTATTTCTAAGACCAAGACATAGAAGCATAACAATCACATTTGTAGTAACGACTAATAGAAGCTAACCATATTTTGCATTTCGCAGAAGGTTTTCATCTACATCTCAATTCTTTCTTCAATAATTCTGGCCCATATAAATCCAATTAGTGTCTACTTTTTTTTTTTTTTTTTTGGAGAGATTTTCACTGTAGGGCACGTGCGCTCGCCAGACAGGCAGAGAGAGACATAGAGACAGAAAGCGAGAAATCACCCCCCAGGGGGGATGGTCACACCACATTCCCTGCTCCTCCACTGTCCTCTCGGGATCTTGGGCACGCACGCACACGCGCCCGGCGTGAGTTTTAAGCCACCGGGTCCGGGACACGAACCGCGGTCAACTACGTGGGAATCCAGCGACATAGCCATTACGCTAACTGCTGGTTCCCCATTAGTGTCTACTTTACAGTAAATATACTTAGAGCCTGTCTTGAGGGAATAAGGAAAATAATAACAGGCTATATTTTTACTCTCAGATGACAAATGAGAAATGGAGACTCAAAAGATTTAAGCGAACTGCCAAAGGACATGCCTCAGAATTAGGAATTCAATCCCGTTTTTCAGATTCCAAACATATTCCATTTCCCCAGCTGTGTTCTCAGTAGGAGTCGATGTGCTGATTGCTGAGGAAATGCCTTAATTACCTCCTCAAATCAAGCTTTAAGTATCTTACCTTTATTATAAGAAACGAAATATTAAGTGGACTGTGGTTTTATTTTTTCGCCAGTATCTGGGCTGAAAGAGATGGTCTCTATAGATGTCTACCCATTCCACTGAACTGACCTACATTATATAGAAAATCTCTACCAGGGCCAACAGGTGATGTGATGGTTAAGGCACTGGACTCCCGCATGGTCGACCACAGTTCAAGTCCCATGCCTGGTGACTTGAAAATTGTGTCAGGCACATATGAGTGTGTGCCCCAAATCCTGAGAGGAGAATGGAGGCGGGATTGTGGTGTGATCATCTTTCTTGGGGAGTGATGTTTCATTTTCTCTCTCTGTCTCTCTTTAGCAAGTGCACATGCTCTATGGCAAAAACCTAAAATAAATAAATAAATAAATAAATAAATAAATAAAAGACAGAAAAAAGAAACCCTGTATCACTTTAGCTTAAGGCTTATACCAAAAAAGAGCTTGAAGTCATCTCACATGCTCCTTTTCTTCTGGGGCCCATACTAGTAGTTTCCACTTGTTCTCTCTACAGGAAAGTCTACCCCTTCTCTTCTTCAGTACTCTCATTACAAAGCTCTTTCTCCCAATCCTCAAGCATAGTGAGAATGGATATAATAACGTGGCCTCCCTTGAATCTGTGTCTTTATTCATTTTTATGTGCTTTACGGCAGTTTAGAAGAAAAAGAGATCCACTCTCATTTTTATCTTGTACAATGTTTTTGGTCTTTTTGATTTACTCATCTCTTCTCTCATCAGTATCTCTAGAAGTTATTCTTTCCTTCTTTCTTTTCCTTTCTATTTTTCTTTCTCTCTTGCTCTTTCACTAACGCAACCAAGTTTATTGCTGGTCACTGACAAGACACAGTCATCAGTTCATTGTTTCTCTCTCTCTGAATTTATTCTGTAATTCTCTTGGATTCGGTTGCCATTCATTCATTCATAAAATATTGACCATTCCCCCAGCCATGGGAACAAAGATGATAAGGCACTGTTGTGTGGTACTGGAGACACACTGGAGGCCCAGGATCAGATTCTGGGTCAACTCAAACATGCCAGGTGCATTTACACCTGCATGTAATCCTAGCTATTTGGGAGCTAGGGGGAGCATCTTGGCATGGCAAAATCCTCTTAAGGTTACCTGTCTCTGTTCTCTCTCTCAAGAAAAAAGAATAAAATAAACTTTTTAAAAAAAGTATATTGAATGCCAACTACATCAGAGTACTAGACTGTGTGTGATGATTTTTTAAGACAAACAGATAAATCATGCCTGGATTCTGACCTCAAGGAATTAAAGACAACCAGGGAAATTACATACATAGTAACAGCACTGGCAGGAGTGATTGCTCCTATAAAGAGCTATGGGAACTGAGAGGTGGGCCTGAGTCAGACTCTCATGGTATTATTCAAGAACAAGATTATGCAGAGTAAATCTGAAACGACAGATAGGATTTAGGCATGTAGTGAGAAGAGAAAGATTCTAGGAGGAGATAGGGGCATGGAAGGGTGGCAAAGTGAAGTAGTGAAGAGTGGGGTCTAACCACATCATCCCAGCAGACCTTGTACCGAGTTCAAATTCCACCTTTAATATCCATTTGACCTTGGCCGAGGCTTTATAATAATTAGGAGGGTCAATTTCTTCATTTACCAGATGGAGATTGTCAACAAGGAGCAACCACAACAACATGAAAAGAAAAGCACTGACACATAATAGGTGCCCAGTGAAGGATGGCTGTTACTATTGAGCAAGTATAGAAAGATACGGAGTGTGTGTAATGCTCACCAAGGAAGTAAGGAAGTTAGTGCTTGGTATTTACCGGATGAGCCATGAATTCTCATCCTCTTCCCAGACTGGTATTATGTCAGGACTTACGTTGATGTATTATGTCATCACCTCCAACTTAACATGTCTTAAACTGAACATACTCTCTTCTCCAAAATCGTTCCCCATTACAGCTTCCTTATGTTAATCAATGATAACATCTGCTTAGCCTCTGAGTACACTTCTCATAACTTACTAAATGCCACTGAATTCTGATTTACCCGGACTTTCTCTTACCTATTTTCACATACTTAACCAGTTGGATTCTTTCACTTTCTACACATGCGTCATTTTAGTCTGACGGTACCTTTGCTTTCATACATACATACATATGCTAAGTGCATTCCCTCCTCCATCTCTTCAGATTATTGTTCTACCTCCATTAATTCTTCAGGGCCCTCTTTACAGATACAACGTAGTAGAAGAAGGAAATCTTTATCTCTAAGCCCTTCCCAAAGCTATCAGATGTTTGCCTTTTATGAACCCCAAATAGCCATAAATGAAGTCATAATGAACTGACTTTATTTCTTTCACGTGTTGACAAAGACTCTCTCTTTCTCCAAGTTTCAGTCAGGCTCCCCCGAATGCTCCTCTTGACTAGGTTTTGACCTACTCAGTTTATGGAGAAACTACCCTTTGATAGTCGATCAAGTTCCTCATTCTCTACTCCTGATATATAACTCTTTTTATTATTACTATTTAATTTATTTTAATTTGCCAGAGAGGGACAGTGTGTGTTTCTGTGTGTTGTGCATGTGTGTGTGTAAGAGAGAGAGAGAGAAAGAGAGAGAGAGAGAGAGAAAGCCGTCAGGTCTGGGACTCAAACAACGGTGGATCATGTGGGAGTCCAGCAGTCCTAACCACCATGCCACCTGCTGGCTCCTCTGATATATAACTCTTTCAGACTGCTGTTATCAAGACTTTTAAAAAGTCATTTTATCAAGAATTCCCCTACCCTTGATAATAAGTTCTTAGTAATTTTCTTTTTTATTTATTTAATTTTGTGGGGGAGAGGCTTTTTGCTATAGGGCGTGTGCACTCGCCAGACAGAGAGAGACATAGAGCAAGAAATCACCCCCTAGGGGGGATGGTCATGCCGCAATCCCTTCTCCTCCATTCTCCTCTCGGGATCTTGGGCACGTACGCACACGCGCCCGGCGTGAGTTTTAAGGCACCGGGTCTGGGACGCGAACCACGGTCGACTATGTGGGAGTCCAGCGACATAGCCATTATGCTAACTGCTGGTTCCCAAGTTCTTAGTAATTTTCTATCCACTAACCTCCTAGCTCTCTTATTGGCTAGAAAACATCAGCTTTATTAAGTTCAATCTCTCTTCTCTATTACAATAGTCTTTTTTTTTTCTTTTTTTGGAGAGATTTTTGCTATAGGGCATATGCACTTGCCAGAAAGACAGAGAGAGATGGAGAGACAGAGAGTGAGAAATCACGCTGTAGTGGGGATGGCCACACTGCAATCCTTTCTCCTCCATTCTTCTCTTGGGATCTTGGGCATGCATGCACACGCACCTGGTGTGAGTTTAAGCCACCGAGTCTGGGACTCAAACCGTAGTCGACTACATGGGAGTCCAGTGACATAGCCATTACGCTAACTGCTGGTCCCTCTATTACAATAGTCTTGATTCCATTATAATAATCTTGAAAAAAGTTTTCCTTGCATATTAAACAGGAATAATTGTGTCAGAATAATTTTTCTCCTACAGTACTTTAATTAGTCTCCGGAAAGGCTGACTTCTGACTATCATTCCAAAATAACCACTCCTGAACCATATGGGTTGCAGGCTCAAAAATCCCAGTCTTCACATTTTCCACATACATATACTTTTGGTCATTTAATTTATTTTGGAAGTTAAAGATTCCTGAGTGCACAAGAAGAAAACAAACTCAGTGTCTCCAACACTTTCAACAATCAACACCGAATACTTCTCTGGCCAGATGTGTGTTTTTTTAATTGTTTGTTTGGCTTTTCTCACATAGTAAGTAAGCAATCATTTCTGCAGTAGACACTAGCTGAGTATCCTCCAGTTCAATGTAATTCTCACACTATCTAGAGACAGCATGAGATGCCACAGGTTGAGGCTCAGTCTCAAAAGACTGCTCTCTTCCATTTCCAATACTGGTTACAAGCCCTAGATTGTTTGACCTGTGCTTCTGACCAATTGCTATAAGTCAGGGTTCCCACAGCCACCTTCCCTCCTTGGATTCAAGTTATTTGCTAGAATGGCTCACAGAACTTAGGGAAACACTTAGGTTTACCAGTTTATTGTAAAAGATACTACAGAAAGGAAAAGCTGCATGGGGCAAGGCATGTAGGAAGAAGCACGGACCATCCATGCCCTCTCTGGGCACACTGTCCTCTAGAAACCTCCATACTTTCTAGTACTTAGAATATCTCTGAACCCTGTGCTTGTGGGTTTTTTACATAGGCTTCATGACATAGGCATAATTGATTACAACATGCCATTACTGATCAACTTAACTTTATTCTTAACCTTCAGTTTCTCTCTCTCCCTACAGATCTGAAGCCAACCCTCTAATCCTGCCTTGGTCATTCTGGTATAACCAAGCCCCATCCTGAAGCCACCTTGGGGTGGCCAGTCAAAAGGCATCTCAGTGGTAAACAAAAAGGTATCACTTTGGAGACTCCAAGGATTTTAGTAGTTGTGTGTCTGGAAACTGGAAAAAGACTAAACAGATGTCTCATATCACAAGAACCCCTGAAAAACTAAAGAAGCTCCTTCTGAACTGTTTGGCTGGGAGCTTTGAATTTAAAATTCTGCCAGTGTTATCAGACAAAAATTAGCATAAAGAGATTCTGGAATATGTTACAGAGCTTTCTCTTTCATGTTTGAGAAACCTGTACATTTCTCAGGCAAGCAATAAAGAAACAGGTAACAAATATATGTATAAAGAAATTCATAGCTATCTTAAGGAACAAGAACACAGCTATTTTTCAAACTGCTTTTTTTGTACACATGAAATGTTTATAAACATTAGTCAATTTTCACACACAGAGTCAAGAATACTCACTGATAAAGACATGCATCAAGTAAGAATCACTATTGGTACATAAACATACAGGAGTTTGGGCAAGAAAACACAGTATCAGTTATGTTGTTGTCATTTCAAAAGAGCCTTCCACCAACATTCACTATTTCCTAATTTAAATTGTGTTAGAAAGATTACATCTGTGGTGAGAATCAAATGCCATTGGAACCATGCACAACAATGGATTTTTTAGCTGTAAGCCAAGGTTTAGTTTTGGCATATTGTAAGTATCAGATTTTCCTATTGATTTTTGGGAACAAACAGAAGAGCCAGTTTTTTGTTTTGTTTTTGACATTTTTACAGACACAGTTCTTTAACGATGGATACCCTCATACTATGGGGTCATTGGAAAGCCATGACATCTTTTTCTATGCAAAAATGCATCCTGACTTTTCCAATGAACCGAGGTAACATGTTTGTTTGATATATGTGGGAAAGTACAATCTTAGTTTTGTTTTGTCTATTTATTTATAGATTTTTCTCCATGGTTACACAGTAAAGGTATTGCCCAAATATATTTAGATGAAGAAAGAAATGTGATGTGTAAACCTAATCCATTTTCCATGTACTTTTTTACAATGGCAAATAGTCATTCACAATGTTGTATCATCACTTTTCAAAGTAGCATTTCCTTTTTCATCTTCCTTGAATATTTTTCTTTCCTTAACCAGAACATCATTTTGCATTAGCATAGCCTTGTGGGATGCATTTAGTAGAGGATATCCAGATGTTATTTTCAATATCCCATCTCTCTTTTCACAAGAAAGTGCTTTTTCAGCAATTAATCACGCTATGGTAAACCTGAATTACATTTTACACAGGTGCCCATTTGACTGACAAAACATTTGTTGAAAACATATTGTGTGACATTTAGTGTGTCAAAAATATATTTTTCTTATGAGCCCTTTATTAGCCTTATGAACAGATATCCACAAAGTAAACAATCATTACCAAAATTTTCATTGGATTTGTTTTGGTTTTGCCTAAAACTCAAAATCTATTGCCAGGAGTGCATAAAGTTGTGTAAATCATATGATTGATTCCACCCATGAAAAAATAAATACAATGTAGAAATAAATGACTTCGTAGTAAAATATAAAGGTGTTTGCCCTTTGTCAAATAAATAAGTTGCATGAGTTGACTTTGCTTTATTTACTCTTTCACATGATCTAGTAAATGATTTTTTTAGCTGCCAACAGGGTGTTCTTCAGAAGCATCGCCACTGTCATGGGTCCCACACCTCCTGGAACTGGAGTGATAAAACTGGCTTTCTTCTTCACAGCTAATGAAAAAAATAAAAAACACTTTTTATTTTTGAAGTTCTGTGATAATTCCCTATTTTTAAACAAAGTGTATTTTTACATTTTATATATATATATATATATATATACATACACACACACACATATGTATAACTATGACAACTTTAAGTCAGTTTTAGGATAAAGGAGGCTACAATAAACACACATTGACTTAGACACTTCTGTGTATAATACCTAAGGTGAAGAGAAAGAACGAACTGGCATCAAGACAGCAGTTTCAATCTTCAGGCAGCTCGATTAATGTTATATGATGAAAAGCTATAAACTACGATTGATCCAATTACTATGGTTAACTATGTCTAAAGTACATGAAATTGGTCCCAAGGGGGTAACAGGTTATAGATAGTTCAGCACACACCAGTTATAAAATTAAATTGGTCCTGTTACAACAATGCTACCAAGCATGTGTAGATAATACATTAATACATTTAGTGCAAGTGTAATCAAAATCATGAATTATATTTGAATTACTGAGCATATACACACAACCCTGTTCAAAGGTATGAATACCTCTTATTCAATGAATATACTCAAAGAATGTGGCAAAGAACTTTCATCAAGTTTTAAGAATGTTTTTTCACCCACAATATTAAAGGTGAATAGCTTCATGCATTCATTAAATTGGTGGTTTAGTGCTTTATCATGGGAATAAGAGCAATGAAGTTTTTCCAGATAGTAGAAAGTTAACATAGACAAGACTTCTGTAATGCATAATATGACATTATTAACCACATGTCATTTATATGTATTGCCTTTTACAAATTTGTTCATATATGTCTACATGAATCAAAACCAACCAATGTTTTCTAGACCTTAAGTGTTATTCTTTCCATTTATATTGCCCTCTTGAAAGATGGTGCTATATTTTGGATAATGTTTTATTCCCAAAGACTTAAGTTCTGGAAGCTTGGTCCCCAGTGTAGTGGCTTTTAGAGGTGGTGATACCTTTAATGGGCCTTATGACAGGGCACCATCCAATTGGCTGGGAGCCTGGGAGGGACAAATAAAGGAAGTGAGAACTCTGTTTCCTCTCTGTGTGCACCTAATTTCCCTCCCCTCTACTTCTGCTCATGTTGTAACATAACACTGGACACAAGCCTGATGTCAGTCCTATGTCTTTGGATTTCCTAGTCACCAGAATCATGAGCCAAATAAACCTCTAGTCTTTATAAACCACACAGTCTCAGGTATTTCTGTGTAGCAACACAATGACTAAAACAGATGGCTTGTAAAATTTGCCTTTACCTTATTTGAAGTGAAATGGCACACTGGAATAATTCTTTTTAAATTATAGGAAAGGCAAAGAAATAGAGCAATATTGTTATACTTGAAGAAAAGTCCAAATAAGCTTAAATACGTGACATACACATACATGCAACCTGTGTCATGAATCTTCTGATGCTATAAAAAAAAAGATAATACTGTGATTTGAAAGGTAATATTTCTGTTTTTCAAAAGCCTCTCTATGCAAGAAGCATATGCTCTCCATTATACTTCCACTCACTGGACTATGCTACAGAAACATGAGACTGGGTCAATAGCCATTTCATAAATAGTTTTGAATTTTTAGTCCTTTCTTTTCTAGCTGCTATTTCTACCCGGAACACTCTTACCTTACACAAATAGGAAATTCCTCATTATTCCTTCAAAGTCAATAAAATGTCAACTGTCTATAATTTTTCTCCAAAATTTACCCTTCCAAAATTGAATTTAAAGTTCCACTATCTATGTTTCCAGTAATTTTTTAATCTACTTCTATCAAGGAATTTAATACACTGCACTATTTTTTTATATACAATACTGTTGATTGTAAATTCTACATTGCCAATTGAGTCTCAAAGAATGCTTTGATTTCTCCCAAACTCTCGTTTCATAGCAAGGCTTCAGTGTAATTGACAAGCAAGTACACTTCTGATCTGATCTTAAGTTAACCATTTTTTTGTGTGTTAATTGACAAGGTCATACTTTTAGGTTTAGTATACATTATTAACATTTTCTTCATCACTTTCTTAACCTAGAACAGGGCGAAAACTATGGCCTTCTCTCAAAATATGTCCTTCCAACCATTTCTTTTCTTTTTATTCTCTTTAAATTTATTTATTTTTTACATCAATTCACTATGCATTGTTACAGCATACAAATGAATTTTCCATCCAAAATACACTGTATATTGGCTCAATCAAGCACATTAACGTATATGTTATCAGCAAATAATTTTCCAATTCTTATGTCTTGTATACTTTGTTTTGCCATCCTTGATTCCCTATCCCTCACCCTCTGCCATGTCCCACCCTCCTCCCACATTGTCTCTGGTATCCATGGCTGCTTTCTATGCCTCCCTCCCCCCCCCATTTGATTGATTTGCTAATGAACTTAATTAGTCTAAATATATCCAATAGCTAGCACAGCTGATATATACCTATGCATGGGATAAACCTCAGTGAGTAGAATGAACATACTATAAAGTAGTACCTAGCTGGGGCTATATAGCTTACTGCAGTCATCAAATATGCATTTTTTAAAATTTCAATACAAACAGTTTTACTGTTTTTTTTTCTCCTGCAACTTTTCTTTTTAATTAATTAACATTCATTCCCTAAGCATCACCACAACATACTAAATATGGTTTCCCATCTAGAATAAACTGCATAGTGGCTTAATCATGTATATTATCATCAATAATATTCCCTTTCTACTTTCATATATATGTATATGTATATATATGTTTTTACTCCATGTTTGACCCTCTGCCCTTTCCCACTCTCTTATTACACTATCTCTGCTATATACAGTTGTCTTCCATTCCTTTTCCCCCAACATTTTGTTGATCACACAATATCATAAGTAATCTAACTACTTTCAATAGCAAGTTCAGCTGGTAATTTCAAGAAAAGCAGTTTTTTGTTTGTTTGTTTGTTTGTTTATGTTTCTTTTTGAGAGGTTTTTCACTATAGGGCACGTGCGCTCGCCAGAAAGACAGAGAGGGACATAGAGACAGAAAGCGAGAAATCACCCCCCAGAGGGCATAGCCACGCCACAATCCCTTCTCCTCCATTCTCTTCTCGGGATCTTGGGCACGCATGCACACGCACCCGGCGTGGGTTTTAAGCCACCGGGTCCGGGACGTGAACCGCGGTCAACTACATGGGAGTCCAGCGACATAGCCATTACGCTAACTGCTGGTTCCCCCTAAGCTCATCATCTTTTAAAAAATTATTTGTTCATTTAATTCCACTTGTTATTATTATTATTTCAAAATTTGACTAGAGAGAGAGAGGGAAGGTGAGAAAGCAAGTCGCCTGGTCTGGGATTCAAGCTGCAATTGCCCATGTGGGAGCCCAGTGCTTTGATCACCATGCCACCTCCTGGCACCAAGCTCATCATCTTTGAGGTCTTGCACTGCAAATTACAAGTGGCTTAGCTGCATGACTCACTTATTTCTAGGTGTCAGATTGGATAAGCCACTGCTCTGCTCGGGTATCATGATCCTCCTCTTCTAAATTATGTTTTTCACAACATGCTTACTGTCACATTCATTTGCTCAAAAGGTGAAGTTTGAGAAGAGAAAAGGGAAAGGAATGAGCTGTTGTGTGAAGTAACACCTGCCCCCAATTTCTAGTTCAGTGTCTCTGCTTTTGCACACTTTACAGATGGAAACCAACATACATTCATTCTGTGCTGCCTATCAGGTTTCACAGATGCAATAGATATGGTGGGTAATGGATCTTCATTAGGGGCTTCTCAGGACATTACTAAGCATTTTGGAGTGTTAATGGAACCCTATAAGTTGCTCACTAGGCAGAAGATTGTGATGCCACTGTGAATCCACCTAGCTAATTAAATACTTGTTTCAAATAATTTTATCTTTGACATAAAGTGGGTGAATATGAAAACAACCTGTACGTCATCATCAGAAGCAGACAGTGATCAACTTTTTTTTAGAGAGAAACTTTTGCTACAAAGTACATGCACTCATCAGAGAGACAGAGGGACAGAAAGTGAGAAATCACCCTCCAGGAGGGTATGGTCATGCCATAATCCCCTCTCTTCCCTTCTCTTGGGATTCTGGCCATGCACACATATGCACCCCATGTGAGTTTTAAGCCACTGGGTCCAGGGCTCAAATTGGGGTTGACTGCATAGGAGTCCAGCGATGTAACCATTACGCCATCTGTTGGTCCCTCAATTTAATTTAAAAGCATATTAGGTTTTTATTTCTTTTGCTTTTCATGAGAACCCATGTCTGCTGCTGGCTGGTATTAACATATTCTTTGTCTATTTATATAAGGATCAGAATAAGAAAGAAGTGATTTCTCAAGAAAGATGGAGAATTATTGACAAATACTGTGATCACAGATGCCAGTGCTTAAAAAAATTCCCTAGTCTAATGATTTCACATAACTATTTCAGGGCTATCCTAAGCAACGTGTATATGAAGCACCAAAGGTAGCTTGTGAGGTAACATTAATTGTGTGCTAAAGTTAAATTCATGTCTCATGTTCTGTAGAGCACCTTCCCCAAAATGTCTGAAAGAAAGTAAGTTAACAAGCATTACATCACCAGAATAACCTTTCAGTGGTTGGTCTTTCCCTGAGGGCAGACAAGGGTTTGCACTTGCTTACAGAAGGTGATGCTTTTAAAGAGTAATCCAATTATGTACGGGGAAGAGGTGTTCTACATGCTCCATTGAAGAGAAATATGGACCCATTATATAGCAGTAATTTCCTTCAGAGACTTGTTTACTGTAGGCATGGTGTGAGGAATCTATGTTTATTTAGTTTTTTTGTTTAGAAAGATTTTTGCTATATTACATGTATACTCACTGAGAGACACAGAGAGACAGAAAGTGAGAAGTCACCCCTCAGGCAGGATAGCAACGCAGAAATCTCTTCACTCTCAGGATTTGGGGCATTCATGCACATGCACCTGGCATGAGTTTTAAGCTGCCGGGTCCAGGACT